TCATCGATAGGTATATCCTGTTCTTTGCCTTAGTATGTAGACTCCTGCAACCACAAAAATAATTTAATGCCTGATATCACAAAGAAAAAGAAAAGCAGCTGTTCTAGGTAGGATGGGCTTTTGCTATTGATCTTGGGATCCTTTATTTCTCAGCAGCTTCTCTGTTACTCCTCTGCTAGTCACTGACAGACCACAACTGCTTTTTAACACCTCCTCTTTTATATATCTATTATCTCTCTTATTCTTATGATCAAGTTCTCCAGAAGCAGACCAATCTCAATTTTTTGACACAGTTTTTATTTTTCCTATACTTTCGAATGTCTGCCAGCTAATGAATGAGGACTGGTAATTACATAAAATGGAGAACCTAGCTCAGCAAAAACTAACAAAATGGAAACAGTAAAAACCCTATTTTTGGATGTCCAGTTGTTCAAAGGAGGTCTAATCTATCCTCAACCAGCCAAAACCTCAATCTTTAATCCACTATGTTATTATATAGCAGGAGGTAAAGATCCTCCTGGCAGATAAGGAATTCTCTTAGAGGGCAGAAAAATCTGCTGGACATGCCATGCAAAAAAAAGTTTTCTTGCTTCCCAGTATCCTTTTATTTAACAATAATAAATCCCCTGTTGTCTCAGTAATAAGTAGGCGAAGGTGGCTACTTTTATTTCTGGCAACTGTAAGAGTGGTCATTCCACTGTCTGGGAGGATGGTACAAATGTCTTTTGGATAGATATATCCAGGAGAAATCCCAACTGAGCTAGTTCTGTTCAAAGTCTGGTTCTGAACTCAATTTTTATATGCTTGCTTTAACCAAATCGATAAGCTGCATGCTGCACCCTCCCACCAAGGTTAAGAGTATGATCAACTGAATTTCAATTTCAGAAATCTGTTCTTTACAGCAAAGTAACAATATAGGTTTTCAGTTTGAGAAAACAGAATGTAATTTAAAAAGATAACTACTCTGTATATGTTAAATATGTCTTTGTTAAGAACACTATATAGGCAACTAAAGGATTATAAACAAATTGTGATCCAAAAGCCTGATAACTCCATTGTCTAGAATTGCTACATATTCCTCCATTAAAACATTAATAAATCACAACTAATATTTATTAAACATTTACTGCTTACCCAGAGCTGTGCTGAGTGCTTAGATCATTATCTATCTTAGTCTAAACAACTCTATAAGGGAGTAAACTCTTTTATTTCTCATTTTACTGATGAGGAAACTGATGCTCAGAGAGGTTAGGTAATCAAACCAGGTTCATACAGCTAGAAAGTGGCAGGGTAGACTCTGAATACAAGTAAGTAGACCATCTCTAAAGCAGGCCTTATTCCTGAGCCTTAACCATCATGAATTTCATGGCTTGCTGATGGTCAAGTCCAGAAGCTGATCTGTTTATTCTAGAACAGTAAAAGTAGCAATTACTAGGTAACAATAGTAACGTTAGTTCAGGGACATAAATGTAAGAGGACAGGGCCGGGCGCGGTGGCTCAAGCCTGTAATCCCAGTACTTTGGGAGGCCAAGGCGGGTGGATCACGAGGTCGAGAGATCGAGACCATCCTGGTCAACATGGTGAAACCCCGTCTCTACTAAAAACACAAAAAACTAGCTGGGCGTGGTGGCGTGTGCCTGTAATCCCAGCTGTTTAGGAGGCTGAGGCAGGAGAATTGCCTGAGCCCAGGAGGCGGAGGTTGCGGTGAGCCATAATCACGCCATTGCACTCCAGCCTGGGTAACAAGAGCGAAACTCCGTCTCAAAAAAAAAAAAAAAAAAAAAAAAAAAAGAGGACAGAACAGGATAGGGGAGAAACGTTTTTCTTTTTTTCTAAGCAAGAAAATCTAGGCAATGATTGAAAGAATATTTAAGGCATGATTTACCCATTCTATATTTCTGAATGTAAAGCTAAAACAGATTAACCTTTGGCCAAAGACCAATTAAACTTTTCCATTTTCTTTCCCCTTAAACTCTTTCGAATATTTTGGTGACAAAGGTATTCTTTCACATTATCTTTTTATCTCAGTGGTAGTAAAACTAATTTTTAGAAGCTAAACAGGACTAATTTTTGGTTATATATAAACGATTATTTTCAAAAACTTGAATTTTTAAAAATAATTACTTAGAAGAATAAAATCTAATTTTTATTTAGTAATTATCAGGCATTTTCTACAGTTTTATAGACTTCCTAAAATTCTGTAATAGTCATTTTTCTAGGAAAATTGCCAGGGTCTCTTCTCCTTCATCATGTAAATATTTTTGGTTTAAAATTATATATTCTCAGCTTCCAATTTTTTATATACATGTCAATCAAATATCACTATATTTTCTGATCAGTATTTATTTCTATATTAACCTCAGTTCTGCCCTTTGCTCAGTGCAGGCAGATCTAGGCCATGTCTTCCAACAGTTATATGAGTTTGTCTTACTACCTAAAGCTAATAAAAAAAGAAAGCGTATGTTTATACTTTAAAATAAAAAAGAACACAGAACAATCTTTACTGAAAGTTCTTGGCTGAGGCTTAAAATGTACCTAAGATTCTAAATAAAAGTGTACTCTTGCCTTGGATGGCACATTTTCTTCTCTTTCATCATCTCATACTTTTCTCCCAAAGTGAGGCTATGTAACTTTTATGTAAACATGATTCCGAAAGCACCAGAATTCCTTTGTTAATAAGGTGGTTGATTCCACTTATCAAATCTAGCTAAAGACAGTTAAAATTGCTTTGCCAGTAGTGATGATAGGTTACAGTGAGTCACCGCCATTCCAACCAGTGCCCCTGGTGACCAATGGCATGTGCTTATGAGGTAATGGGTCAGAATTCAGGCTCCAGGCTGTGGTTGAGGAGCAGCTTTTCTGTAAGACAATGTTAATTGTTACTGGAATTTTACCCTTAAACTTGGCACCACCTCACAAGTGAATGTTTCTCAACAGTTATAGACAATGAAATACTCTCAAACTGGCCAAGTGAGATACAAGGAAATGTTGAAGGACCTGGGATCTTCACCTCATGGTAGTTACCTTTGGATTCTGTCAGGTGGTGATACCTGATGGAGTCTTGAAGAATAACAAGTTAGCCAAGCCAATAAGATGGGGGAAGGGAGTTTCACAGAGAGAAGAAGAAAACATTTAAGACACCAAAAGGGAATAGGGAAATGATACATTCAGGGAGCAGGAAGTAGTTTGGTATGGCTACATGAAATAGGCATATGTGAAAGAATCACAAGAGATGAAGCTAGTGAGAGAATATGGGTCTTAATGATAAAAGCATTTCTATACAATACTAAGAGGTTAGACTACATGTTGAAGGCAGTGGAGGGTCACAGGAAGATGTGAAGCAAGGACGAAGTATGAAGAAATCCACTCAGGCTTCAGTGGGTGACTTGAAAGAGAATAGGAAAACCAATCAGTAGCTACTATAGCAATTCAGATTACAAATCATGAGGGCGTGAGCTAAACAGCAATGGATATGGAGGCATATGGTGAGATGTGAGAGATATTAAAAATGAGAAAATCATAGTGATTGACACCTGTAGTGGGTAAGGAATAAGACAGAATCAAGGATGACTATCAAGTTGCCAGTGTGGGTTGAAGTAAAGGATTATAAAGTAGATTTAGGTTGGGCAGGGGATGAAATGAAGCCAGTAGCAGATAAAAGGCTTGGATATCCAGCATATGCTGATGCTTATAGGGAGCTACTTTTCCATTTATTATATTTATTCTAGAAAAATGTCATAATTTTAAAGGTAAATTTAGCTCTCTGTTATTATAGGAGGTCTATGTATTTCCCGAAGCAAAAGGAGGTCATAGTTAATGTTAAATATATTTACAACCTATATATTGCAATAAGTACCCAAATGGATGGAACCTATATGTTCGATTCACATTAAATTATACATCACAATCCATCTGGCTTTTAAAGTGTGTGTCAGAGACAATTTCTAGAACAAGTGCCAACTATCCCGGAGATGCTTCAGCTCAAGTTACCAAACTATGCCACTACACTTGAACTGTTTGCTACTTGGATGTATACCAAATGTAGATATATGTTGGACATTCATTCTTTCAGACTATAAAAGAATTCCTAAATTTCATGTTTTGGCAGATAAAATATGATAAAAAGAGTATTTCATAGTGTTTTACCTCCAAAGTATACACCTTTTCTTGGAGGACTGAGAGCCAAAGTAAAAATTCCAAAGTATACTGCTAGCACAGTAATGAATGCTTGGAGTGCTTAGCTAAATACATTGGGCTGAACTACAACCCCAAACTGGAAAGAGTCTTTACAAGTACCTAGATACTTGCAAAACAGAATTCTTCTGAAGAATCTATTATGATACATTTTATCCAAGATGAACTATGTAGCCATATTTACTTGGATGAAATAGTTTTGTCAAAATTCTGAGCCATAATTTTTTTTATCATTTCTCAAAAAAATTTTATAAAACCGACATAATATGGAATTAAATACTTTAAGGTTAAAAAATATCACATAGATTAGTATCTAGTTTCTTAATAACAATTAACTTAGACATAGGGTAACTTTAACCTATTTATTTTTCAATCTCCCTTAACGTACATTATAGTAGACTAAATTTCCTACAAACTAAGATCTTAAATGAAATCATCTACCCCCTGGTAGATAATAATCACCTCCCACCAAAAAAGCACAAAACAAACAAACAAAAAAACCAAGAAGGAGGTAGCACAAAAAGGAAAAAAAAAAAAAAACCAAAACTGTCATTAAATTCCAGCTCCTTTGGATATATAGAATCATTATTGATCTATTGAAACTGTTCCTAAAATGTGTAAAGGCTGGTTTTGGAAGAATAGGATATTTTTCTTTTTGGTAACATAAAAGACACCATTTACAAAGATGATATCCTCAACCATACAACACTGTAGAGAAAAAATTTAGAGAATTTGAAATATTTTTATTATAACTGACAAAGTCGATGTCTTGGTAATAATATCATTATATTAGAAGAATTACTTACTCAAGAAGATCTGGGTCTAGTCCTTCTGATATCATTTTGTTTCTTATTGCCATCACTGGTACACCCTAAGCAAAGGACATGAGATAATCTGATCATTAAAAATGCTTCCTTTATATGTCTACACATACCATCTAAAACAAGACCTTTAGATGCCTCACTATTTAAAAGAGTTTGTATTCTACTTTTAAATTAGCACATGCCTAGCACTTGTATAATCTAGTAAAGTACCCATTTTACACTGACCTAACAGAATCAGTCTTATCCAATATCACATAAGCCCAAATTAAGTCATTTGAGCTATTCTTTACTAATTCTGCCGTATAGAAAACAGAGATCATATTCTCACTCTTCTTATATCACCAAAATAAAGAAAACGTTACTCAAACGATTAAAATACGAGCTGAAGTGATACAATGAATACTTTTACTTGAAAAGGGAAGAGAATTGATGTACAACTAAACATTTATTCGAAGTTCACTTAGTAAAGCTCTAAGGGGAGAAGATGACATCAAATCTGTCAACTCCTCCTCTTCACACCATCCCCAAGGATAAGAAACACTAGAGTGATGTGTTCAATTTGAGGGCCTTGATTCTATCCCCTTAAAGTAGGCAGAGTCACATCATGGGACTCTCTCTCCTACCCCATGTGGCATAAGAAGGAAGGTACACCCAGGAACACACAGGAAAAAGCCCAATCACCGCTCTACTGCTGTTGCACACTCATCACTAGCCAGTTGTGATGTTCATTTATTTTTACTTTTATTTTTAAATGACAAATAATTATACATGTCTATGTGGTAAAGTGTGCTGTTTTGAAATATGTATATATTGAGGAATAATCAAATTAGGCTATTTAGCATATCTGTCACCTCCAATATCTATTATTTGTGGTAGGAACTTTTAAAATCCTCTCCCATAGCTATCTTGAAATATATATCTTGAAGATGGGATAGGAGTTTGTCTAAAATGAAAAACATAAACAATTAGAAATATACACAAATCTTAATATAACCTATCATATGTACACTTGTTTCAAATTTGATCTTGCCAAATTAAGTTAAATCGTTACATCTAATCTTCAGTTTTTTAATCAGAAAGTATTATGTCAAAAAATTTAATTTTTATTTACTTTAAAAAACTGCCCAGAAAAGATAGCTACTGAAAGACTCATAACCACTTATTTTGGCTATGGAAGAAAAAAATAGCCACATCCCCTCTCACAGCCTGCTAGGTTAAGTAAGGTTAGGAAAGCAAAGGCTTTCTTTTGAGTTTACAGGTTACTTAGAAGACTCTCATGAGAGGTAGCAAAGGCAAAGCAGTCATTCACAGGCCCATTTATATACTTATCTTGGTAACTGTTGTGTTTTATCTTATAAATTAGTAAAATTTAGCTTACTGAGACTCAGATAAAAATGAAAACTTAAGTGTTAGATGAATCAATATAAATAGCATCATCATAAAATTCTCTTCAAAACCATACCTCTGAAAGCAATATTGTTCCATTAGGCAATTTTTGAGATATTCTGAAAAGTGTATTACAATAGGTTTGGAAGACAAAGAAGGTGGAATATAAGTTTAATGAGCAAAAAGAGAAAAGCAAAAAGAAAAAAGCCCACTTGCTAGGGACATCCAATGTGAACAGACTCAAGTTTGAAATAAAGTAAGCAAGAAATAAAAACTAACACCACTTTTGAAATATATTACCTAAAACTAAGACCTGAATGAAATATATTTAAAAACACAATGTACTTAGTAACAAAATTTTCATAGTAGGGGAGAAAGCTGATTACTTGAATGACATAGTTGGCATTGATAATTAAATGTCATTCAATTATTTAGGATAAAAGGGGGTAAGTTAGGAGTTTGGAACATTCCACAAAAAAATATATGAGTGTTAAGAAAAAAGAGAAGAAGAGCAGAGTTAATGTCATACTTATTTAAAAAGACCTCTTGGCTTCTATTAACTATGGTTTGATGGTATAAGGTCTTTCTACAAACTCAAGCATGTGATTTATTTATTATACTTTAGCATAATCCACAGGACATCATTGGAAAGGTTATACAAATAAGTTACAAAGCCAAGACAAGAGAAGGGAGGAGAATGAGGTTGAAAAAAATTTCCTAAAATACAGCAAAGTAAGTGTATATTGGGTGGTGGTGAGGGAAAGCAGTGGGTGGGAAGAGGGGAATGATGAACAGGGAAGTTGGTAGAATTAGATAAGCCCTCTATTTGAATATTAGCTTCACAGAACTGATCATACAATAAGAATAATAGAAACCTAAACCTGTAAGCTCCAAATTTGAATCTTAGTTTGTGGGGTCTGCTTACAGTAGAACAGCACAGATACATATACAATTTGGTATCTTTAGTCATTTCTGTATATGGATATGGGTAAAGGAAAATACATATAACTGCTATCTTACTTGATTCTTAGACTTATCACTACCTTAAAAATCTCATAAAGCTTGATAAAAAAGAATAATTTGGCCTGTGTTCCAAAGAATGCATTCCAAAGGGATCTGCTTTGTTTCCAGTGATGTTGCTTAGTTTGCTATATTCTTCCTTAGAGGTCACGTAACAGAGTCTGGTTTGTTAAACACCAAAAAGAAGTGTGCAATTTCTGATTGCCAACAGACAAAGCTACTGGTGGTCTAAGAAGGACAAGAAAGACCTCAAAACTGAAGTCTACTGAACTGTGGGGTTTTTTTTGGCAAGTGAAAATGGCAGTGTGTCCAACATAAGTAATGAAGAAGAGAGAAGGCAGCCATAAGTCTGATGTTCCAAAAAATAACATCTGTATTTGCGTCACTGGAGAAAGTGTGTACAGAACCACACTAATGAAATTATGATGGCAGCACTAATAGTTAAATACTAGTTTCTTATATCACAAAAAACTGTTTAGAGGTTTATAGGCCTGCCAATATTTACATTTATTTCTTATTGTGTTAAAGAAAGTCAAAAGACAAAATCCTTTTATAAAGCATGTTGAAATTTTCCTAAAGTTTTAGATTAGAAGGAGGAAAAAAACCCCTCTGTACTCAAGAGAGATACATTACTTTCCTAGTTTAAAAATAACTAAAAATTCTCCTTACATTTTAAAGTTTTTCCTCTTAGTTTATGAATGTGAATCGTAAAAACATAAGTTTTCTTCCCTACCTAATGCAACAATAAAAAACAGATCTATTGAATACGTTGATGGAAAAAGCTCTTTCTTTGCAGAGAACAGGAACTAGTAGAATTTGAAAAGAGGCTACAGATTGTTAAAAGGGAGCCAGTCCTCCAAGTAGGCTCCTTTTACTTAAAATTTAACTTCATAAAGTGGACTTATATCATATCTTTGCCTTTTGACTTTTTTTTTTGAGATGGAATCTCAAAAAAAAAAAAAAAAAAAAGTGGAGGTTGCTCACTGCAACCTCCACCTCCCTGGTTCATGCGATTCTCCTGCCTCAGCTTTCTGAGTAGCTGGGATTACAGGCGAATGCCATCATGCCTGGCTAATTTTTTGTATTTTTAGTAGAGACAGGGTTTCATTATGTTGGCCAGACTGGTCTCGAACTCCTGACCTTGTGATCCGCCTGCCTCAGTCTCCCAAAGTGCTTGGGATTACAGGCATGAGCCACCACGCCTGGCCCCTGCCTTCCGACTTTCAACAATGCTATTTTAAAAATATTTGACTGCAGTTTATAAAATAAATTCATAGGATGCTGCATTTAGGATAAAATTTTCAGATAAAATATATAATGGATTACTGTTCACTGAACAAATTATAACACAAAAGAAAGCAAATGCGCAATGACCTTTTCTCTTCAAAGCTTTCAGTGAAGGAATAGAAATTAATTTAAATAGATCTTTGAATCACTGTAAAATGAATATGGCTATCTAAAAAAAAGGAAACTTTATTTCTAATGACCTAGAAAATGCTAGACTCTGAGATTAACTCTGATACTGTCACCATCAAGTATTATTAATTAGAACTTAAATATGTGGGTCAAAAAGAGTCTCACAAATCTTGACTAGTAATATATATATGTTATATATATACACACACAGTGGTTTCTATGAAAACTAATGGTAAGTTATTCCTTTTTCAAGGATTATCTTAAGACATCAGTTTCAGTCAGAAAGTATTCTTCACTGACTCCCGTGAGATATCTTTAAAGGTGAAGGAACAAATCACATGAAAAAATGGACCAAAATGAAAGCAGCCAAGACCAGGGCCCCAGGAAGTTGGTAAAGCAATTACTGTTACTTTATTCATAAAATAAATACATTTTAGCAGTTTGACCTGTGACTTTTATAGGTGAGAACTAAGGTTAGCCTGAATGCCTATGAAGAAAAACCTTTAAGAAAATTATTTCAAAAAGTAAGGGATCCATTGTTATAATACAATTGAAAATACAATTCATAAATTTCCCTATGTGATTGACTCACTACTCCCTTAACCTGCCTCCCATGCCTGCATAAAATATACTTATTATAGACATAATCACTTGTTAATCACCAAAAAAAAAAGTATATGGTATTTTCTGTGCATACTATAGCTACTCAAATATTTGTTGATTTAAGGATAATTTGGGGCTGTCGAAGATCCATTTTCCTCTCTGCATTATAAATGCAAAAGTAGCATCTAAAATTTATAGATTTGCTATGCTAGGCTAATTAATGCTAAAACTCCATTATGAATATATACCTAATTTCATTCAAATGATTACAGTATTCCACTTTGAAACAGACATTAATTATAAATTTCTAAATCTTTCTTTACAGGAATAAGAACTTTAAGAGAATTTTTATAGTAAATCATTTTGAAATTTGCTAATTAAGAGTATACAAAGAATTAAAAATGTAACTACCATTCAACACAGCAATTTTATTGCTGGGTAGATACCCAAGGGAAAATAAACAGTTCTACCAAAAAGACACATGCACACACATGGTCATCAAAGCATAATTCACAATAGTAAAGATAGGAATCAACCTATGTGCCCATCAATGGTGGATTGGAAAAAGAAAACGTAGCACATACATGCCATGGGAAACTACACAGTAATAAAAAAAAGAGCA